AGGGTGGCAAGTGTGTGTGTCTCGAGATATCGTACGCGGCCGTGAGGAAACAAGCCTTTGGATACAGAAGGGTACGCCAGGCGTCTGGTAAATGATATAAAGACAGGCCAATGCTCAACTCTCAGCTCTAGACACACTAATACACTGACACTAACACTGCCACCGTCACTAAAACGCACTGTGACGGTGCAACACTGCACGTCGCGGCGAAACGCAACGCAACACAATACAACACACTAGTCGACGCACACATCGCCGGCAGTCGTAACGGTCTCGGCATTGTTCACAACACTTGTAAGTCCACAGATCCTACTCACTGCGCCATGAAGGTTCCAAGTGTTCCCTGAAGAAGGCAGTGATGGGTAGGGAAACACCGGGTAACACTGAAGTCCATTTATTAACGGATAGGATAAATACAAGTAGTGACTAGCGTGTGCCATGCACGACCCACAGAGTCAGACTGATACTGCTTTGCCATATGGCAGCCTCGGGGCAATGTTGCCACATAACATGTGCAGTGTTGCCATGTGATTACATATATAAATGCTATTCGGCACAGTAGCTTAGATACATAACCTACAAGTAGCACCTCTGCTTAATCAATCTAGTGGTGCGTTCAATGCCCTGATGACCCATGTCGTCATGCAAAAGTTTCATTACCTCCTCCTTCAAGGTAGTAGGCAAAACTAGTTGTTTTAGCTCCTTCTGGCCTTTCCCATTTCCTAAACAGCAATCTGTTACAAATGAGCAATCTCCCTCTCTGTTTCCATAGGCTGTTAAAATCCTGGCCCTTTCTCAGCTGCTGTAATTCACTTTTTCCTAGCTGCCTTTCTAGGCCCTTTCGGCACTATGAAATGTTACTGTCCTGTTCCTGCAATTGTTGCAAACCTTCCTGAGATATGCTGGGAAGCCACATTAACTGTCCAGTCACCTGAGGGCTATCTGCTCCTTCCTCAGCTGGGTATGGGGTCTCATTATCCTCACCACTAAGGGAACTCTCCTCCCCGAAAGCATCTATGGCCATAGCTTCAACACTCTCGGAGGAGTCATCTGCGTCAGGTTCTGGCTCATGGCTCTTTCTGGATAATCCATCTGCATTCCCATTGGCTTTCCCTGCCCGATATTCCAGATGATAATCAAACCGGGCTAATTAGCCACTCATCTCTGTTCTACTGCCCCAAGCTTTGCCTTGTCCAAGTAAGTCAAAGGATTGTTGTCAGTGAGTACAGTAAACTTGCTGCCTGCCAGATAGTCTTTGAATTTCTCAAAGCTAGCAGCTCTAACTTCATGCTACTGTAATTCTTCATATTTCTCTCCGACCCCTTCAAGCCCCTACTGGCATAGGCAATAGGATGTTTTCTGCCTTCTACCTCTTGTGACAAGACAGCTCCTAGCCCCTGAAAACTGGCATCGTTCTCTAGGAAAAATGGCTTGCTAAAATCAGCACAAATCAAAATGGGTACCCTGACTAACTTACCCTTTAGTTGGTTGTATGCATCGTCATGCACCTGGGCCCACCTCGAACAGATGGACTGGTTTGGGGCACCTGAAGTTAGGGCTGTTAATGGGGTAGCTAATTTTGAAAATCCAGGCACAAACCGTCGGTAAAAAGAGGCAAACCCAAGGAAGGAACGTAACGCCCTAATGGTGGTGGGAACCTGCCTCTGCTTAACAGCCTCAATCTTACTAGGGTCTGTCTCAATTCCCTTCTGTGACACTACATATCCAAGATAGGCAACCTTCCTCTGAAACAGGTTGCATTTGGATGGTTTCAGTTTCAAGTTATATCCCTTTAGCCTAGAGAGCACCATTTCCAGCCTTTCTATGTGCTCATCAAGTGTCTTTGAGAATATCATGAGGTCATCTAGGTACACCAACAGGGTTGAAAATATCTCACTGCCAAAAATGCTCTCCATGAATCGCTGAAATGTTCCGGGAGCATTACATAATCCCATTGGCATGCGTTTATAATCAAACAGCCCGAATGGTGTACAGAAAGCATTCTTTTGGATGTCCTTGTCATCCATCTCTATCTGATAATATCCTGAGGCTAGATCGAATGTTGAAAACCACTTTGCTCCTGCCAAAGCATCAAGAGACTCATCAATTCTTGGGAGTGGAAAAGCATCCTTGCGAGTGGCTTTGTTCAGTTTCCTTTAGTCGACACACAAACGCAGTGACATATCTCGTTTCTTCACCAGAACAATCGGGGCTGCATATGGACAAGTGCTTTTGTGTATGACCCCCTGCTCCAAAAGCTGGTTGATATGGTCCCTAACCATTTGGATTTGAGTGGGGGGAACCCGTCTGAAAGGCTGCCTAGTGGAAGTCTCATCTACGAGAGGGATGGTATGCTTGATTATCCCAGTGCATCCTAACTTTCCCTTACTGTCCAGAAAAACATCGCGGTACTTCCGCAACACACTCCAAAGTCTCTGTTGTGTGCGACTGGGTATTTGTTTTAGGTCAATCTTCAGCCCTATTTGCCTTAGATCTTCTGGCACCTGCCCATCAGCTGGGCATTCTGTCCCCCATTCAACACTGTTTGAGCTCACCTCTGTTGTTTCTTGTTGAGGACACAAATCGGCCCCACGAGCCACTCCAACATGCCAGTTTCGCTTTAGCCACATGCAAGAATTACCCACATTGGCCACAGTGGCAACCCCCTTACCGTACCTAATGGTAGCATATGTAGGGATAAGAAGGAGGTTGGGAGGGAGCCACCCTTACCCCGCCTGCATTGGCTTAATCAAGACTTCAAGTTTGGGACATCTCCGTAAGCTTCGGATGTAAATACTGACTGCCTGGCGGCAGTTTGCAGGGATTCTTGTTGGTTTCCACCTAGTAGAGGAGGCAAACCCCACGTGGTCTTTCTGCTGCCATCGATGGATGCTCTCAATCTCTTGGAAGCACTTAGAAAAAAAATCTGTTTCCCTTTATAATACTACAGTCAACATAATGGGGACCAAAATCCTTCACTAGAACTTCTCGACATTGTCGAAGTACATTCATCCCTATCAACCCGGGGGCCTGAGTAGCAAAGCTCTGCTTCCCCTTCCTCACTACAACCCCGACCTGCTCTATTTTATATTCAAGAATCTCAACATCCACCAACATGTAGCCCAGGTATGGTATTGACCCACCATTAGCGGCTTTCAACACGAGACCCTCCGGGGAATGTAATCCAACTCCCCTAGATTCCCCTAGATTCAAAATATCTACGATAAACTGTCTCTGAAACAAGAGAAACCTCACTACCAGAATCCAGAAGAGATGTAACCAAGACTCCTCCTATCTTAACTGCAGTGACAGGGGTTTTCCCCACCAGCCTGTCCTTACGCCACTCTCTGTGTGACCAGCCCACTTTTTCTACCTCTACTGGTGGGCTTCCCACAGCAAGGGTTGGCCATTTCCCTCCTCTCTAGCAATTTCCGACACTCCCGTGGTCTTGACTCCATTTCTTGGCTGCTGAGAGGCCCACCTTGGTGGACCTCCTCTCCCTCGACCTTGGTTCCGGTGCCAACAGGTGGCCGCCCTGTGCCCCCACTGTCCACATATATAGCACTCTCCCTGGAATGGAAGTGGCCTTCCCTTGTTAAAATGTTTAACTTCCGGTGACCCCTTAATTTGGACTAGGTCTGTCTTCACCGCCTGAATATCTACTCGTAATTCAGCAAGCATCTTCTCCACCCCACTCTCTTGAGGTACACTTCCATGGGGGTTTAATGTTTCTCTCACTTCCTTAACCATGGGCGAACATTCGTTTATAGCTGTAACCACACCCTTAGATGGGTTCTTTTCCTTAATTGTCTTCTTTGACTCTTCTGCAGCTACCTGTACCAATTCCTGATAAGACATTCCATGCTGGCCACGCAAATACCAATGTAAGCCACTCTGCAACCCTTGATCCCTTAAGCCCTTAAGAAAAACCTCTTTCAAAGTATCCGACTTACTGACGACTTGCGTTGGGGCTACTTTAACTATCTCCACACATTTTCCAATACACCGTGAGTCCTCTGATAAAGTCTAAAATGGAGTTCCCCCAGCGTCACATTTTCTCCATAAGTATCCTTTAAAACTGCGAGAACCCCTTCACTATCACAACTGTCACTCCAAGCCAGTTTTCTACCCTTTTCTGAGCAGGACCAGTGATAAATTTAAGAATATAGTTGACTGACCCTCTACCCTTGTAGCCAAGCAACCTTATGTTACACTTGGCCTCAGCTATCCACTCACCTACATTAATTTGGTCTGAATTATCAGGAGTCCCCGAAAAAGTCCTGAGCTTCATCTCATGGGCTACCACCTGAGGGAAAATATCAACACTGTCCTCTTTGTGCATAGGCTCACCCCTCTGTTCAGACTGTGAGACCCCAGTTTCCATCTTACCACACTTAGTGGGACTGCTCACCCACTGTTCCATCTGGTTTGTGAGTCTTTGCACTTGATTACATAAGGGTAGGATACTCTGATGATACAATTCACTTATCTCCGAGCTTCTCAAGTCGATCGAATTCTCCTCTGGAACGTGAAGTGGGGATGGGTAACTCATGCTTGGCTGCTTCCAGATTCGTCCTCCTCTGTGTAGGTAACTGCTTCACCAGTCAAAGCTCTCTCCTCCGCTGTCGATCCTCAGGAGGCGGTGGTGCCATGCTCCTCCGCGGGTGATTTCGGCTATAATAACTACTGCCTGGGTGCTGCTTGTTCTTTGCTCTATAGGGGACAATCTCAACTTACTCATGCAAGCAATTGCATACCCCGCATCTCCACCAAGTGTAGCAAAGCACAAAGCAGTGATAGGACACACACTTGTAGTTTTCTCTCATTTATTTACTCTAGAAAT